CAAACACACCTTAGTCCTTGATTGTGGATCCAAGTAAAATGAAATCCTTGACAACTTCAATATTTTCTCCATTTATCACGATGTTGCTTATTGGTCCAGTTGTGAGGATTTTTGTTTTCTTTAAGCTAAGATGTAATCCACACTGAAGGCTGTGGTCTTTGATCTTAATCAGTAAGTGCTTCAAGTCCTCTTCACTTTCAGCAAGCAAGGCTGTGTCATCTGCATATCACAGGTTGTTAATGAATCTTTCTCCAATCCTGATGCCAAGTTCTTCTTCATAAAGATTACATCCTTGCAAACACTATGGAGCAGTTCTACTCTGTCCTATAGGATCTCTTTGAGTCGGAATCAATTTGACAGCAATGGATTAGTAAGTAGGTACTCAACTCCAGGTGATGAAGCTGGATTCAGTCCAGACTCCTGAGCTTATTAGTGAACAGTAAAAAAGAACACCTGTAGAATCCTTGTTATCTGGGAATTATGTATCATTTCCCAATCAGTGCTGTCAGATTTTAGCCCCATGATATACCAGTGAACAAGAGTCAGGTGTCCACCACAGAGAAGGCCAAGAAGATGTATAAATGGTAAAAGGAGACCAAAATGTTCCATGTGTTGGGAAGGTATCAGGAAACAAATTTATTTTTGTTGAAGTGTTTTTTATAAATAAACAGGAGTTTTCAGGTTTTATGAAGAAGAACTAAGGGGCTGAGAAGATGAAATGAAAGTCCATGTCTTAACATTTTCTATTTTTCCTTATTCCAAGGATCTCCTGGTTTCAGCACACCAGAGAACACAGGACTAGGTAGGCACATTGGGGACTTTAGGAGGGTAAAACATCTTAGAGTCTTATGGACAGGATTGAGATGGTCTTTCTGTTCAAGTGGCTGCTAGCACACTGTTATCCTGCCTACTCCAAAATTTCACTCTATTGAGTGACACTTGGATAGAGCAATTCCACAGCCATTGAGTTATATAGGCCTCTTGTCTCAGAAGGAGGGTCTTCAGGAGCCTCTTTGATTTGATTTTTTTTTTTTTTTTGTAGTGACAGCAATTCTATATTTTAGCAGAAGAAGGTTACTAGGGTTTTCTGAGCATTATAATTTCACTACATTATATTACATCCACCACCCATCTGTCAGTTTGTTGTACTGTGGTGGCTTGCGTGTTGCTATGATGCTAGAAGCTATACCACCGATATTTCAAATACCAGCAGGGTCACCCGTGGTGGACAGGTTTCAGTGGCATTTCAGACCACTTTCCTCACCACCATCAGAAATGAGACTGTGAGGCTGATTCACCCTTACATGGATAATTGGAGTCACCAGGCTCTAACTTGGGTCATCTAACGTAGTCCAGACTAAGACAGACTAGGAAGAAAGATCTGGCAATCTACTTCTGAAAATTATCCAATAAAAACCTTATGGATCACCTTTGTCCGATATAGTGATGGAAGATGAGGCCCCTAGGTTGGAAGGCACTCAAAATGCACAATGGCTGCAACAGTGAATTCAGACTTATCAATGATAATGAAGATGGTGCAGAACCAGTCAGCATTTTGTTCCATTGTACATAAGGTCGCCATGAATCAGAGCTAACTCAATGGCAACTAACAATATAACATCCTTGAGGCGAACATGGGCCCATGTAGTCCAAACAACAAACGAAAGAAAAAAAAGGCTCAGAGAACAGCAGTGTCTTCCAAGAGATCACTCAATAGAGAAAATAAATTTGTCCTAAGTTTATCTCACTTTTTTCCCCTACCTACTTCCCAGGTACCAACAGTGATATACCCTTTATCATGTATGAGAGAAGAACACAAATTGTTGTATGGGATGAAGAATGTATATAGGAGAGAACTGAGGGTTCTAGGTATATGGAGATGTTTCAGAGATATGATCAGGCATTCAGTAAAATCGCCAAGTGAGGAGGGAATGAAAGGTAAACACAACCTCTCCATAACCACCTTCTTTCCTAGGAAACCCTGGGAACGACAGCTCATGGACCCAGGCTTACAAAAAAGTGTGGTGCTCATGAGCACATGACCTCATTGAAAAGGAGTTAGAGTGGGACCATAATTTAGGAAGCAAATAAGGGAAATGAACTCCCATTTCAGGTCTCTGGGGAAGGAATGTGATGGGACATGACCAACAACCAGTCATCTCTTTGATTTATGTCTCTAGACACCATGAACCAGGATTACGTGACGGAGGATTTGATCCGAATGAGTGTGGCAGGGCTGATCCTTGTGGCTCTCCTGGCGATATTGGTTGAAGATTGGCACAGCCGTAGGGTGTTACACAAGGAAGATAGGCAAGACTTCACTGAAATGAGCTGGAGTAAACGGAAGTGTCAGACAGAATGGACCCTTGAACCAGCCTCTAATGGCCATCAGGCAGATACCTGAAAATGAATGTAGAGATGAGTCAGAACCTGTAGAGTCCTGCAAAGCTCCTTGGAGGACTCAAGGCAGAAAGGGGCACTAAGGAGCTTGGATCCATTTTCAAACCAATCAAATGGTGTTTTCTTATGTGGATATGATATTATTTCCATCCCACCTTTCTGAACCTTGGTTGTAATTTTCCATCTTTATTCTCATTTTGCATACCCTTTTTATTTTTCTTCTTAGTTTTTTTCTTTCTCACATTTTTTGAAATGAGTGCCTCCACCACATATAAATAATTGGTAAGCATGACTAAAATATTCAGTAAATCCCCCCTCTATCCTTAAGCTATCTGTTTTGTTCATCTCTAAATTGACAAAAGTGAATGCCATCATTCTATGAGATTTTTTCCTTTATTTTTCTCCATTTATATGGGATTTATTTAAACACTAGTATGTGTTTCATCTCCTTTTTTTGTCATTTAATTTTCAGAATAATTGGAAATTTATATAATTTTACCATTCTGGGGCTTAAGATTTTTCACTGTACCCCAGGATGTAGGCAGGTTCTGACATGAATCTAGCAGCATGGATACCTCACTGAGGGCTATGTTTTTATCTTCAGACTAGAGTTTATCATTCAGGTTCCAATTTTATGACGCTGGTTCATCCACATCAAGAGTTTATAAATATGAGCAATTTCAGAAAATGAATCTTCCATATTAAACTAAGATGGCATTTTTGTATCATCTGGCATTGAAAAATGACGTGGCAGAGGCTTCTGACCTCCTCTAACTTCACGAGGGGGAAGGAGAATCAAGATCAACAGCCAGCCCACGGCTGGTTACTATGAGGCAGAGGTCAAACATGGTTCCTCTCTCCACCATCTTTACTGATTCTGATATCAACTGTCCCTCCCACAGCACTCTATACTTTTCTGCTGGGTTCAGTAATTCATTGCAATGGCCCCACAGACAATACTCACAATTACGGGGTTTATTAGGGAAGTAACAGGTTACAATTCAGGTTCAGGAACTCTCAGGATACAGTTCTTCCTTCAGGACAGCCTCTTCCAAGCCCTGCTGACAGGCACATCTCTCCCTGGCCCTCAGCCTCTACCCAAAGGCACTCAGCTTTCTCGCTCCGTGGCCTGCATCATCTCCTGCCAGTCTCTCCTTCCTCAGTGGTGGTGGGATCCTCCCTCTCTCCTGCCTCTGGGATGGTTTACCTCAAGCCCAGTGGGGATGGAAAAACTGATCAATCACTTTGGTGGGCCACAATTGCCCCATCTGCACAGTCCCACCCAATTACCCAGGTGGGAGTTACAAGACCATGGCAAGAAAGGCCACACAAAAACGATCCATCACACTACAGGTATAATGTTGCCTGCTGTAATAAATAAGTTCCAAATAGCTTTGGCTTCAAAGTAAGATTGCTATTGTTCTTATTGTTGGTTGCCATCAAGTTGATTCCGACTCATGGCGACCTCATGTGTGCAGAGCAGAACTGCTTCATAGGATTTTCAAGGCTGTGACCTTTCAGAAGCAGATCACCAGGCCTGTCTTCCAAGGTGCCTTTGAGTGAGTTCAAACCACCAACCTTTTGGCAAGTAGTCAAACACTTAACTGTTTGCATCATCCAGGGAGTCCCAAAGTAAGATTAGGTTCTGAGATTATGTTTTTTCCCTTAGTCTCACCTTCCATCATTCTCCCTTTGACCCTGAAGATTCCCTATTCTTTTCCAGTTATTCCCACTAGGAGGGCCCAGCAACATCATTCCAGGGCAGCAGTAAAGAGTGGGGAAGCTTTTAGCAGTGCTGATTCCAAACCTAGTAACATGGGGCCCAATGAGGGTGAGCATCTAATACCTAGATTTTGCCCTGGGAGGCACAAACAGTTAAGCACTTGACTACTAACGGAAAGGTTGGCGGTTTGAACCCACCCAGAGGCACCCTGGATGACAGAGCCTAGCGATCTGTTTCTGAAAGGCCACAGCCTTGAAAACCCTATGGCGAGCAGTTCTACTCTGACACACATGGGGTCGCCATGAGTCGGCATTGACAGTAACTGACAGCAACAACAGATTTTGCCCAGACAGTGATGTTGGTAACCTGAAGAGGCAAGCCAATGACAATATGGAATGATATGACTGATGAACTTCGCTGGCCTTAATCAAAGTTAAAATAGGAAATTACGGCTATGTTCTACCATAACCAGATACACTACGAATTGTGATAGTGTATTCAAATAAATTCTTTCATGCAAAACTCAAAACTTTCTAAATACTTCACCCATTTTTCTTTCAAGTAAACCTTCCAAGATCCCTTCCATCCTTTAACCAAAGGAAGTATAAATCAGCCACAAAACAAACAAACAAAAAAAAAAGCCTTTGTTGTCGAGTCAATTCTGACTCATAGTGACCACAGAGGACAAAGTAGAACTGCCCCCATAGGTTTCCAAGGCTGTAATATTTACAGAAGCAGATCAGCAGGTCTTTCTCCTACAGAGCTACTGGTGGGTTCGAACCACTGACCTTTCGGTTAGCGGCCGAGCACTTTAACCCACTGTGCTACCAGGGCTCCTAAATTGGCCATAAATGCCCCTAAATACCATTTAATTCATTTGCTAGTTCTTTACTCATGGAAACCCCATTATAAAAATATGGGGTCCCACTACCAGTGACACTGGAGATGGTACTGCCTAGTTTCCTTGAGATCAGCTCTACTTGATGAAACTCTCACCATGGACTTGGCTTCATTCACTTCCTGTGATTAAAAAAAAAAAACAACAAAGTTTTCTCAGTTCTCCTCGCTGTTTTTTACTTGTTCTGGCTCAGTTCTACAGTTTGTCCTGAATTTATCAGCAAGACTGAATATCCTTATGTCTGCCTGTCTATGAGTTGATTTCCAACTCACAGCAACCCCATGTGACAGAGTAGAACTGCCCGATAGTTTCCTAGGCTGTAATCTTTAAAGAAGCAGATCGCCAGGTTTTTCTCCTGTGGAGTGGCTGATGCATTCAAACTGATGACCTTTTGGTTAACAGCTGAGAGCTTAACCATTGTGCTACCAAGACTCCTTACCAAACTCATAATTAATATAAAACTAGCTTCAGCCTGGTGAAACACCTGACAACTCCAAAAGAATCAAGTGAAAGACACTATAGGTACACTAGGAGTCCCTGGGTGGCACAAATGGTTAAGCACTTGACTACTAGCTGAAAGGTTGGTAGTTCGAACACACCAAGAGGCACCTCGAAAGACAGGCCTATCGATCTGCTTCCGAAAGGTCACAGCCTTGAGAACCCTATGGAGCAGTTCTACTCTGCACATATGGGGTCACATGAGTCAGAATTGACTCAACGGCAACCAACAACAACATAGCCACACTTAAACAGACAATATACATTGGAATACTACTATGATGAACCCTCAATAAAAATGGTAAATCTCAGACGTTCCAGCAAAATGGTGCTCTAGGCAGACACACCACGCTGTCCCTCCACAACAAAGATCCGAAAAACTAAGCCAAACAGAGAATACAACAATCCTGAAACCCTAAAACATCAAATGAAGAGATAAAGAACTCAGCCAAGCACCAAATGGAGTGAGAAAACTGACAGAGAAC